TCTTGTGGTCAGATTTTAAAAATTCAAAATGACTGATCCATATTCGGGCCACTATTTATCATGGAAAAGTTTAAATCAGTGCTGCCGCTTTAACTTCAATTGAAGTTTTTCAATTCACTTTGGAAGCCTTCACTTCGTCACTTCATTTTACTTCCTTTGACTTCACTTTCCACAGATTAGCTTTATCTTCAAAATAAATAAAAATTGCTTTGAAATAAATTATTTATTTAACTAAAATCAACAAACTTTTCGCAAAAAGATATTAAAAAGACGCCAATTTGGCATCGGTTATTTGGAAGAAGTAATTTTGATTTTCATTTTCACATGTACAGATGTAAAGGGCACAGAAATGAATAGGTGGCTAAAGTTTCATAATTATTTAGTAAATATTTGACGAAAATGACAAATTGGTTTTAGTTTTCATACATCTTCAATTTTACAGCAAAAAAGAAACATTTAAGCGAATCTGGTGATCCCGTGGTCGATATTCGATCAATTATATTTTAGTATTAATTTCATCAGCGAACTGTAATTTTAGATTTTCTTTCCGCAGCGTTTGAGACATTGTGACTTTAAAGAAGTCCCAGAATTAAATTTGCACAGGAATACCATAAATTATAAATTGATAAAGGCTAAAGATTACTTTTATTGTTATAAAAATATTATTGATTAACCAATCAGTTGATAAGTAACCTAATCGAAAAACCTGAGCTGAGAATGTTCGGTATAAACTTTTCCATAATAGATTGTAGACGGAATATAAATTCATGAGTCTTTTGATATACTTTTTTTAATTTCTATCCCTTAGAGTTTTAGGTAAAGCTTTGGTCCGTTTGTCATGGAACGTCCCATATACATACATATAAAGCACATCAACCAACCATTTACAGCATCCTTCCTTCATCAGCTCTGAATCTCATTTTCACAACGATTTTCTAGTTTATTGCACTCTATGCTCAGACATTTCGCATTCACTGCCGCACATACCAAGTTGAGTGCACGAAATTAGCTGCAGTTTTGTTTGTAATCGTAGAAGGGCCCTTGGGCTGTGTGCCAAAAAGTAGGCAATGACTTTTTATTTGTCTACAGTCGGGTGGTATATTTTACTTGCATTTGTTTGGCTATATTTAAGCTTGCAAAGACGAATGTACATACATACATACATACATACATACTTCTAAATGCAAAGCCCTACCGTGTATATTATGTTTGAGGGGCTAAAGCATTCAACTGAGAGCAAGGTGAGACTCCATGAAGAATAACCCAGTTTACGATTACAAGTACATAGATTCATACAAACATACATACATATCTCCAGGCAGTAGGCCTCGCAATTTGGGTTGCATGCGTTTAAATAAACATGAAAGCGTGTGCAGCGTGTGTTCTAATTTATTTTATAAATGCTTGGAAAATTTAATGGCAAGACACTCAGTAGTGAATATGTGTTTACTAATCCACTAAATCCTGCCCAAAGTTACTAAAATTCACATCTGTAGTTTTGTTCTGTCTTAGCTTCATGGCGTTGTATATGTATATGCAATAAGGCCAACAGAAAGTGTACATTTAATACAACTAAAAGTATCTTAAATATTTGATTAGCACATCGCTTATGCAGCATTTTTAAAATTTTTTAGTCCTGCACTTAAATAGTGGCCATATACACTATTTTATGTGCGCAGGTGCTGGGGTATTTTTGGCGAGTTTTCAACCAAGCACCGCGAATGTATCAAATGAATTTTAGCTTTTATCCGTTTAAGGATGTTAGAAGGTACATACAAAAAGGGAACACTTATGTACTTAATTGATAGTAGTTACTTAAATTTCGTTTCGCTTGGTTTCATTTAATTTTTCCATTTTTTATGTACCTCAAATGCATTATCTGGATGGGTGCACATCATTAAATGTTTTCTATTATTCAAATACTATGCGACCTTAGTATTCTTTCAAGCGCTTTCACCCTTCATCTATTTTCGCTTCGCATTTTTTCAATTCTTTATTTTATACTTTCCACCCTCCTTTTTATTATCACTCAAATTGCATACTTTTTGCACTTATTCCTTCGTAGATTTCGATGTAGGTAAGAGACAGACGAGCAATTCGCCAATCATTGCTTCTTGTCACATAAAGTCAACCAACCGGTCAGCCACCAAACCATCAAGCTAACTCGCATACCATAGCAATCAATGAAACACTAACTTTTTGCATATTCTACACCACCCAGTGTAGCATACTTTATGGCGCAGGCGGGCGGGTGGGGATGAATAAGTGCTTCACAACCACGACAGCAGACAAACAAATGTAATCCAGACGAATTCGAGTAGAGCAACTGTAGCTGACTCACAGTTTGCATGCACTATGCACACACATACATATGTACATAAATAGCTCGATCAGAAACATACACAATTGTACGATAGTAGTAGTAGAAAATGACCTGAAAAAGTACATACTTCACACAAAATTACCCTTTTCAATTTGCGGCTTTTGCTCTTTGTTTATTCGCAGACTTTCGCTGCGATGCCAGCAACGGATGCACTTGATTGTGGATGTTTAGCAGGTTGTGTGTGCGCGTTTGCCTGGCGTACAAAGATACATATGCCTGTGTTTACTTATTGACTTGATTTTCATTGATTGTTTATTTATCGCATGTTAAGGCAAATAAATAGATACATACCCAGTCGGAAAAGTAGTAATGCATTACATGCGTGATAAATAATATAATTAGGGGATTCACAAGACGTGTTAACCGTCGTAAAATCTTAAGGTTAACATCTTTTTTAATTAAAATGGTTTTAGGGGATTTCTAACTAAACCGAAATTCTTTTAAACTGATAAAGAATATATAATTAGCCAACCCCCCAACCATTTTAACCGCTATTTTACATAAACAAGTGTTAAGCTTAAGATTTTACGACGGTTAACACGTCTTGTGAATCCCCTAAATGTATTTCTTATGCGTTCTCGCTAATATTACTGCTAACTATGTAATTAGCATTCTAATGTATTCAATACTGATTATTTTTTCGATTACCATACATTACATTTTCCTACTGTGTATAGATACATGAAGTAAAAATATGCTCACATTCGACACGTACATACATAAACTTGTGATTAGCTGATTAAGTCAAGTGACATTTTGACTAGTTTTGGCTCTTTCTTTTGTTTATTTCATGTTTATATTTTTTTATAACCACTAACCAGCGCCACATTAATCCACATTTCAAACAAAAATTATGAAAATTCAAGAAACTTTAACAATTGCACCCTACTTTTTATTCAGAATTTTTAGAAAAAAACTTTAGATGCCAAACCCAGAAAGTTTTGTTCTCAACATACATAACTAGCCTTTTCGGACAATAGATTTGTGAATTTATCTGTTTATAAAAAAAAAAAAAAAATCTTGCCAGAGGCTTCAAACTGTGAGTGGTAAACTATTGGGTGGGATAATCACAGAATTAGATATCATAAACTTCGTGCGATGAACTGTTTTAACGAAATGGCTTAACTTTGTACTTACACAGCCCAGCACATTGTTTCAACTTAACTCAGACATCAGTTAGACAAACTATCTTAACTTAGCCTTATTTACTTTGTCTTATGTTCAGATTTAAGTTATATAGTGAATACATACATAGTAAATATGCATATCTGAGATAACATAAATTGTTCAAATAAAATACATAACTCGGGGCCATCGATATGTAACGAATATACATTAGGGTATAAGGAAACTATTTCTAAACTTAGCTTTTTGTTAAAACTTCCACCAGAGGGTGCAATAGTGAATATTTTCACATATTCTTCAAAGCCTATTTACGCAATTGGGCAAACTCCAATTTGATTTTAGAACCATGGTTTCTTCAGCAAAGTTTCATTGAATTACAAGTCGAATCATTTCCGCCCTAATATACATAAGCAAGTAGGTATTGCATTAATTGGTGATAAATAAGGAGAATTCTTCTTATACTCGTATGATGATTAAAAAACTTACCAGTAAAATAAATAAGAAAATTTTTTGTTATTAATTGGCTATTAATTAGAAAATAAAAATATTAAACCCGGGATCTACAAATATAGTAAACTTATATTCCTATTTAAAATACGGTTTTTATTATGGCAGATAAAAGGCAATAATTAACAATTCTGTCCAAAGACCATTAGCTAGCAGTATCCCTTTGCTTGTTACATTCTGCGTTCGTTAAGTTTTTTTAGCGGCTGCCACACAACGAGGAAGGCGAGTCTCTTCTGCGTCGTGTTTTTTTATTGCTGCCTACCACCACCGCCAACAACACTACTTTACAGATTCACTTTGTTCTACTCTAAGACCAACTGTAATTTCCTCCGCCCTATTTGTTTTAAGCAAAGAGCGCTTTCCGCTACTTGTAAAGCTATATTTATGTGCTTATGCTATTTATTCCTGGCGTCCAGTCCGCTTTGTCAACAAATATGCTGCGAGCGGGAGCTGCTTCCTCCTGCTTTTGTTGACATACGCTACTCAATTTTAATCTCCTATTCACTTACTTACTTAGCTTGAAATAAAAACATCTGCGTAATTTATTTACTACAAACAAATATTAAATATTTACTTACGTTCATACATAAATATATAAACAAATATATATATATATATATACATACATACATATATTTTATTCTTAGGCCCCGATTTCGGTAAGAGCGAATTTTAATTGCCCGACTTCGCCTACAATGTATCTGCGTACATTGGCTAAGTGGCTAGCCGAAAGCACAACATACCAAATTTAAGCATTTCAATGTCAAAGCGATGTCGTGCGAAGTGAAATCGCTCTTATCGAAACGGCAGCCTTATGCTGTTTTTCACTTTTATTCGTGTTACACAAATACTTATTGCGCTCTCTCGTTTTCTATGTTTCATTCTATTTTCCGCGCTCGTGCTCCTGCTACTGTTACTTTGCAACAAACTACACCAACGACAATGGCAACAACAATTCCCATTACAATGACTTTTAACTGTGCAGCGAGGAAGCGACGAACTTTTAAGTCAAGCTGCAGTTATGGCGCCCGCTTCCGACAATAATAATCAGGATTTAGCCACAAAGAAAGCCAAATTGGAGCCAAGCACTGTTCTTGGCGGAGTTGGTAAGTTTTTCGTACTACATATAACTTATTTCATTTTCTTTCGTCTAACCTCAGCCATGTTTTACGCTATTTTTTCACTTAAGCACCTTGGTTTTTAATAACTATTACTCAGTTGCAGCGGTGAAGTGCTAAGGAGCAGATAGATCTTAAATTACGAATGTACATTAACTAGAAATTATTTTACGAGTTTCTTTTGACTACCTGGGTTTTTCTTTTGCTTTTACATATTCTCGTTAAATACAACAGCTTTAAAATTTTTGGTTTTTCGTTTCGCTTTCGCGCGTACAGACAATTAGCGTTGGCGCGCTTTCTGCTACTTATTTTAAGTAGTGTGTTCACTATGTGTTAATGATGGTAATTTCCCTCGTTGAAAATTAATGAAGAATTCCTAAATGGACAATCATGCAATTGTTTTGATTTAATATTGAGAAAATGTGTGCGTATTCACAAATTCGCTATGAAACTTTATCAAACCAATCAATGGTGGTCTTTGTTATGTATGTACATATTTCTGAAGGAAGAAGGTATAACAGGTAAGCTGGACTTCATATAATTTTGAGAAACAAATCAGTTTAATAAAATGAAGTTATCGATACCAATTATTTTTGCATTAAACCGAACCAGTCCAAGGTGGCGGGTCTATGTCTTGGATCTATGTTAAAGAATTCAAAAATTAATTAAAAGAAAATCTTTTTTTCTGATAGCGCGATAGCGCGTATTTTGTTTTACCTTACTAATTTTACCTTTAAGGAGAGCTGGAAGTAAAATGAATGAAAATTTTGAACAAAATTCTGTTTTGCTGCCAGCCGAATTTGATCATAATATTGTTATTGTTTTTATAAGCATTTGTATTATTGGAATCACGGATGATGAGGGTCTCAGATAGTTACGTAATTCTTACCTAATTCAACGTCAGACCTGTAGCTTTTTAATTATTTAAGCATCGATTCTCTCTGTAGCCAAACGTTGACTATTTCTTCTGGAAATCCCTATTGAAGCAGCTTACTCTTTCACTATAAATTGCAAAGAACGAAGACTTAGGGGAGAGTTTTACAACAGAAGTTTTTAGCCAATGATTCAATGTATACCCCTATGAAAAAGTATTGCCCGACGAGTAAACAAAATTGCTGTTTTTAAAATGTTTGCTAAAAATAAATTCCCCAAAGAGTCCCATTTGAAGTGGTTGAAACAAATATATGTAACATCAAAAGCAAATCACGAAAATTTGGTTTAAAATTACAATGCACACTTTCTTCTTTTATGTCTAGTAGCTTTTTTAAGATTGGTCCAGAAAAATCATAATAAAGAAAGAAACCAGTGGAGGTATTTAAAGTATAGAAAATAATAAAAAAAAATTATTAAAAGGACAATGTTCTCTTTGACGGAGGTCAAAGGTCAAGTAGAAGTGGGAAAGTCTATGACGAAGAAATAATATGTTTTGAAACACTTTTGTCAAAGTTGATATACATTACATTTGACCAGTTTTGTTACACAAATACTCCCATGTGCGGCGCCCGGGTAACACGACCGCAGGCAAAAACTATTGGCTACAATCTGTGATTTTGTTTGCCAGATATGCGTTTTATCGGTGCACTTGCACAACATTCGCATTCGCAAAAGCTCCGCATTGATTATTGCGAATGCGAATGCGAATGTAAAATTAGTGTGGAAACTCCGCGGTTGCGAATGCGAATGGGAATATTCGCAACAACCTTGGTTGGAACCCGCTAGGATAAAAGTGGTTTCTCAAGCTGCCTGTCATGTCAAGGGCTATAAATGGGACGAAGCTCGTGGACACTCTTGCATGCGCATATTTATTTATGTACATGTGTATCATCTTTGAAACCCCTACTGGGATGATAATATTTAAAAGTACCCTTTGAAGCCGGTAATCATATAAATGCGCTCCACGTATGCACTAATTCCTGGTTATTTCTGACAGTTCTCTTATATGTATTATTGATGGCATTTGCTTTGCTATATTTTGATGCCCCGCTAGACTAACCACATTGTACTTACATACTATAAACTGTACAGTTTAAAGGATGTACAAACAATGAAAATTAAAAAGTTTATTTTAAGACTTCACCTTCCTATACACATAAAAGCTTTTGCTATAAAACATAATATGGGTCTTCATCAAAACGCGTATATGCCTCGTAACCAAGTGAATCTCGTAAATAAACCATACAAAATTTAGTAAGTTTACGTTGTTACGAGGCATTCACGCGTTTAGTTGAATTGATGGAACTGCTGCATATGGCACCCTTTACCAAACGAATGCTATCAAATTTCGCGTGGGCCTTGGTTCGTGTTTTACACGGACTTATGGGAATGCCTGCATTTTGTGTCACAATTTATGGCACACCACAAAACCACGCATTTGCACACATTTAAAAGTAGATAATTAAAACAATCGCTCCCACCATGTGCGCGTATGAAGCTGCCACTAATAAACGAACTAATTACACTTAAAATTCGAGTTACGCAATTTCCATGGCAGCATTGTTTGCTTTTGGCTGCTTTGCTGATGATCCGTTGATAGCTGTTTTGGCCTATAAAAGCTACGAAAATTCAAGCGTAAATGAAATGCGCTTACAAGGCATTAATTAACCTCAACAAACAGCATGCATATAATCCCTTTCAGCAGAATAGGTTCAATGTGATTTTAAAATTTTTACCAATCAAAACCACCTTGGTGTCATTTTGACATATTTTCAAATTGAATAAGAACCAATAATTTTTAAGCAAAAAACACAACCGACTTCAATTCTCATATAAAAATTTAGGAGTGCCGTTAATTTCTTCATGATGTAATGATCGCATCCAAACCATGTTAGTATGGGGACGCATCTCGGGGACACTACATACCTTTCCAATAGAATTTTCGATATCGGTTAACGTGGTCCAATGTTATGAGGTAACATACATACAAAAATTAAAAAAATATATTTATTCTGACAAACTGATAACCTTCTCCGTTTTAAAGTCGGTTATAAAAGTATAGTTTAATCGTTAAGAAGAATAGATTTAAAACAATCAATTTCTGATTAAAAAGGAATTTAAATGAAGAACAGTGCCATTGGTTTTATTGACTAAAATTCCTCTTAAAATTTTATTTTAAATGAATTTTCATTGGTGTAAGGATATTAGTGACTATGTGGTCTTAATATCAGAAATAAAACTATTTCGGCCTTTTATTTTGTCTACCAGATTGTCATGCCAGCATGCCGCTGTATTACGGAACTCTCTTTGATCCTGGTCAAAGCAACATCCCAACAATTTTATAAACAATTTTCTATTTAAACTGCTCGCCTCGGCATTCAATGGCAACCT